TCTTACTAAATTGTCCAGGTGGGTCTTGAACTCACTGTAGCCTAGGCAGACCTTGAACTTGCAATGCTCCTGCCTCAGCCTCCAGAGTCACTCTGGTGATATTTGGGTTCCCATCTCTTGGTTATTTATTACTAAGACCTCTTGTAATGTATACAGATTTCATGTGGGTACATGCCTTTGTGTCTGTTGGGTAGATATGTAGGGGTAGGCTTGTTTCCTTTTCCTTTTCATGTTTTCTTCTGGGCTTCCAGGAGGCAACATCATTCTGGCCTGTCGTGACATGGAGAAGTGTGAGGCGGCTGCCAAGGACATTCGTGGAGAGACCTTGAATCCCCGTGTACGTGCCCAGCACCTAGACTTGGCTTCCCTCAAGTCCATCCGAGAGTTTGCTAGGAAGATCATCAAAGGTAGGCAGGAGGACACTGACTTTTCCAGCCCAGGTTTGGAGCTTCCAGTCAGTTCTCTGAGGAACCCGAAGCCAGTGAGTTCTGGAGAAGAGGCTGGCCAACGTGGTCTGCTGGCTGAACTCAGCTACCACCTGTTTTTTTTTTTTATCATTTCCGTAAGATCAGCTGTGCCTACTCATGAGCATCCAGCGTGACCTGGTTTGTGGACTGTTGGCATTCCCTCAGAGTAGGAGGGGGTAGTAGTAGGGGGGGAGAATGGTCCCCATAGGCTCTTACGCTTGAATGCTTGGTCTCCAGGTAGTGGAACTGTTTGGGAAGGATTAGGAGGCGTGGCCTTGTTGAAGGAGGTGTGTCACTAAGGGTGGGCTTTGAGATCTCAAAAGCCCACACCATTCCCAGTGAGCTCTCGCTGCCTCGTGGGTATGGGTCAGATGTGAGCTCTCAGCTGCTACCCCAGCACCATGGCTGTCTGTCTGCTGCCTTGCTCCCCACCATGATGGTCATGGACTCTAACCCTTTGAAACTGTGAGCCTCAGATAAACTCTTTCCTCTGTAGTTGCCTTGCTCATGGTGTCTGAGACAGAAGGGTTAGGGGAGGTCACTGGACCCTCATCTGAGTGTCTAGACAGCCCTCCCAGCCATTTGTGTAGAGTTTTTCTCTGAACTGCTCATGGTCTCTGGGATCTCGGGAAGAGGGGCTCCATCTGTGTGGCCATGGACACAGACCTTCCATGCAGCTCTGGGGTCACCTGTGCTCTTGCCCACATCCTATCTTACCCTTACCTATGGCCTATAAGTAACCCTGATAAACTAACAGGTTTCCCAGGGTGAATTTAGTGGGATGGAATTTTGGTTTGCCATTGGGACCTTAATAATAATATTATTTTATCTTAAAGATTTTTTATTTTTCTTTATGTGTATGTATGAGTGCCCTCAGACACCCGAAGAGGGTGTTGGAGCCTCTCCAGCTGGAATTACAGATGGTGCTGAGCCTCTCTTTGTGGGTGCTGGGAACCGAACTTGGGTCCTCTGGAAGAGGATCAAGTACACGTAACCACTGAGCCGTCTCTCCAGCCCCTCTGTGGGACCTTGCAAGGAGGAAGGGGAAGTAGACACTGTGTTTAGGGTTTGGGCAGCTCAGGGCTCTGAGTTCTCCTTTTCTTAGTGGAGGCTTCCACTCTTTCCAGAGCTAGTAAGAGGGGATCGCTGGGCCTAAACTGGTTGTTCCAGCCACAGGGTTCATGCTGAATACTCGTTTTCCTGCTGGGAGTCTGGAATCTGGGCAGTTAGTCTGTTTGGGTGGTTGGAGTCAAGAGCCGTAGCCTGGGCGATGAGTAACAGCAGACATTTACTCCTTACTGTTCTGGAGGCTGGAAGTGCAGGACACTGGCAGATTCTGCTTCTGGTGAGGCCTCGCTTCCTGCTTCATAAGTGGCACCATGGCCATGTCGGTGGTGGAGGGGAGTGGGGAGGGTGTTGTGTGGTATTTTGTTTGTGTTCTGACAATGCTTGGAGTCAGAGGGCGGACCTAGCTACTAGTTGCTTCCTACCTCTCTCGTCCCTCCATTCAAAGGGCCTAGATCCTCTTTCTGCCCTGCCTTATCACTTCCTGTTTCCTCTCTGTACAGACCTCCAGACCTCTATGGTTAACTAGTGGCTAGCTC